AACAGCTGTCAAGTTTTGCCGCGGGTAAACTGCTGTCAGGTGCTGTCATACAGTTTTGCCGCAGGTAAACTGCTGACAGGTGCTTTTCACCTAGAAACCATTTTTAATTCAAAATTGCGCGTTTGTGATTGGTGGAAATTAAGACGAGGGAAATAGTCAAACTTATATACTCATTATATTATATACAAACAAAACAAACTTTAAAAATAACAAGCAAGGGAGCATCAATTAATTACGTAAGATGTTTAGGGGGGGAGGGGGTCGAGCCAAACCTCACCCAATATCACTTGGGGGGGAAGGTGGTCTCGGCAAATATCACGTAATTTTTTCTTTTCGAATGAAAATGGCGAGAAAACTGAGTTAAATTAAGTAAACAATTTTAACAATTGTTTTTTTAAATAAATCTAATGGAATCAATCACAGATTAACTTATTTACATTAAAACCATGCATTTTACGTGAGATTAAGGGAGGGGGAGGGGGGAGTCGAAAAATCGCCAAAATTGCCTCACGTAATTAATGAATGACCCCTAATAATAATCAAATAAAATGTTTAATATTTTAATAAAAATTCCAGAAATTTTTATTTATTTTAACAAAATATATTATATAATATTACCGATGGGTTTATTTTAAATAATTATTTATGTTATCTACTTTATGAAATAAAAGTTGTATTTATATAGATAATTTTATATACTCACAGACAGACTAACGTTAAGAATTATTTATTTTTATTGTATTTACTTTTTACAAAATATGTTATCAAAAACTGTTATAAATTTATAGAGGGTGTCAATACAAAGTTTTCACTCATTTTACTCAGGTGTTACACAAAAAAGTTAAAAAAACGTTTGCACACGTCAATTTTTTATTTTAGGCAGGCATTTAAAAAATATATTTTCTATCATTAAGGGGGGGGTAAAAGTTACCCCAATATTTTAAAAAGTAAGGGGGGGTCGAGTGATACATAATTTTAAAGGCTTTTTAATTGCCTGCATTTTGGCATTTTTAAATCGGTTGGTTCGTTCTCGAGATATTTAAGATTAAAATAAATTAAAAAATAAGGTTTTTCTCAAATATGTATCTCGAAAACAAACCGACGGATTTAAAAACTAGGTAATACGTCAATAGGCCTTATTAATACGTTATTAGGCTTTCATAATCAATTAACGCTTTTTCATGGGGTTCTTCCTGGACACAAAGGGTAACATTTTTAATAATAATAATTTTTCTTAGACCTTAAAGTTAAAAAACAATGTCCCCCTAAAATCAAAAATCGATGTGTGAGATTATTATTTTGGGTAAAACATAAGAAAACCGAAAAACTTTCCATTGAAACACCCTGTAAAAATAGCTAAATAAAGGTACACTTCCTCAAATTTTTAGTTTCATAAAAATCTCCGTTTTTGATTGAGTGTACCTTTTTGTTTTTTAATATTTTTATATTTTAGGTTTTATTTTAATAAAATATTTAGGTTTTATAAAACAATAAATATAAACGATACAATGTTCTATAATTACATAAAATTTAATATATTTTACTTAGTAAAATTTACTATATATTATTTGTATCGTTTAAACTAAATTAATTGTTTAATTTTTATGCTATACAAATGGGATATTTTGTTTGACTTCTTGCCTACACAATAATATTTTAAAAATAAATAAATAAAACAATAACAAATTTATTAACACATCATGTGTTGAGCATATATCAATAAAGGTATTTTGTTGCAATTCCGCACGCTAAGATGTATTCGCGCGCCAAACGAAGCGTTAAAAATAAGTTGACTTCTGAAAAAGAAAGCGGTGTTGCCAAATTTATGGTGCCAGAGAGCAAACATAATTGTATGGTGCCACTTTGCGTCTATTTACCAACTTGTATGCACCGCAGCGCCCCCATCGGAGGATGGTCGAACTAATCAGTATGTAAATTCAGAATTATGGTCAATCCGGCACCCAATCGAAATTTTGCCAGACGCTTCGTTATGCCCTTATATGAACATAGGGCTGACAAGCACTCAAAACGTAACGGCACCCAAAACCGGGTGCCACATGGTAAAATTGGGTGCCGTTTAGACAATTTTCACCTATAAATGGTGCCACTTTGACGAAATATATGTATATATATATACAAACAGGCGTTAAGGCACCAAATTCGGATATATATGGGCCAAGTGGCACCTATATAATCGTTCTGGCACCATTTCAAGGTGCCAGGACGTTTTATTTCATATATAAACTCTAATGTGTCATAGTATTATCCCTACAAAATTTCCAGATGGTGCCACTTGGACTATATATATAGAAAAGTACAATTTTAGTTGAACCATATAATCTACAGAGGGCGCTAACTACGTAAGTAAACTATACAACGTAGCGGCACCATGATAGAATATATACAATAGGACGTTGCGGCACCATGTATTTCTTGAGTCTAGATTCTAGACGTTTTCCGATATTTTAGATTTAATTTAATTTACTATTAAGTAGTATCTATTTGGCTCCTTAGTCTTAGTATTATTTACGGCTAGTGAAGTAGTGAAATTAGATAAAAATGGATCAAAAATACAAAGTTTTTGGTGGTAAGTAGGTACTAAGTATTTAAACTTTTTTAAATTAATTAGGGAAACAATCAATTATTTGCGGAAACTAGGGATGCTTTTGCACGTTTTATGACCTATAGGTCACAAAAATTAGTAAAAAAGCATTAGAAGATTTTCGTATTTTCTTGTTAATATTAAAAAAATAAAAATCAATACTTAACATAACAGCAGGCAGATATCCCCCCCCGCGAAAATCTTTACTGGGCCCCCTGATTTCACATATTTTTTAAGTTTTTATATTGAAAATAAAAATTATTATTTTTATTTATTATTATTATTATTTATTAAAAAAATACGAAATAATATTTTTTTTTAAATAAGGTTCTTATACAGTTCAACACGATTTACCTCCCATGAAAAAATTTAACAGATTTTAAAATATAGGTTAAAAAAACATGTCCGTGACTTACCGTTTTACGAAATCACGTCATTAAAATTTTTTATACAGCCATTCTTATTATTTTAACATATACATACATAATTTTCTATTTTGTTATAAATTATTTTTTTCAAATATTGATGTTTTAAATAATAGAAAAATTATACTTAAAAAAAAAATTTTAAATAAAAAAAAATTCTATAAATTAAAAAAAAAATAATTTTTGAGTTTTTTTTAAACAAAAATTTATTCATTAAATAAAATTTTTCAAAAACTATACATTTAGCTGTTATTGAAGACGTGATCTGAAAACATGCCGAGACACGGGTATCATTTTTTAAGTCTATTTTCAAAATCTGTAATCTTGAGAAAATAATTTAAATTTTGTCGTACTACTAAAATAATAGAAAAATAATAACATATTTTTATAACATACAAAGATAACTAGCAATCTAAGCAATCTTACAATATTGCCATAATTTTTAAGCATCGCGTCACGTTTTTCGTCTTGCAGATAATACAATGGAAACAAGTTTTTTAATGTTTTGGGGCAATTATAGGCTGGGCCCCCACAAGGATTTTATTTTTATGTCATTTCATAGCTGATTTGCCAGAACGGTTGCACCCAAAAATGGGTAAAATTGATAATTTTATAAAGACATATTAGTAAATGATAATTGAACGGGCAAGAGGATGATAATTTTTTTATAATAAAGGGCAAACAAAATTGTTATTGCAATACCAAATTTATTTTAATTTATAATCACAATATTGTTTTTTTTCTACTTTAATAAAAAAATTTACTTTACCCCTTGAATAAGATCACATGTCTCAATATGCAGGCCCTGTATAATAATGTAAATTAAATTTAAAAAACTCGGTATGCCAAAATTATTATTGTCACAATTTATATTCGTGAAAAAACAGCAATCACATGAATTGTGGATGGATTTTTTGTTTTGTACACCCAAAAACGAACTTTATGTAAATATTGTAATTGTTCCGTACTGACACGGTTTACAAATTTATTTTCAAGGAAATTAACGTAGTTTTATATATTTTACAAATTTATTTTAGAATAAATTTGAAATTTCTAAATTATCGTGTTAAAGGCAAAAAGTTTTGCAAGAGTGGTAAAAAGGGACACTTAGGTAAAGGAATTACAGGTTTTTCGAACTTTGCCTAAAAATCTGGCGTCCGGATGATTCCAGAAACGATGGTCCAGGTACACGAATCGAGTAAAGGGAAGCAAAAAACAGGCAGAAAGTTTTTGGAAGTGTTAGCGAACGGATCGTTTCTTGTAAATTTTTGCTAAAACGAAATTTATTGCAAAGTTCTATTTAAATTATTGTTACGACTGTTTGTGTATTCTCCCAGGTTAGTTTTTAATTTAGAATATTTAAAACGAAAAGTAAAATAAATGTGATGACAATAAGTATTTTATTCGAAACATCTGACTATTTCGACAAAGGACTTCCTAAAGCGAGCAATATTTTAGTTTTACTTTTATAAACACTGACTTTCAAATAAAGGTATTATATATCTGTATAGTGTCAGAACGCATATATACTTAAAAAATATATAAGGTGCCATTAATTCACATTAAGCGCAAAAAATATTGGGTGCGGGAACGTCCATGTAGTTTTTGGTGTCACTTGGTACTTTTACGCGTATATATATATATATATATATATATATATATATATATATATATATATATATATATATATATATATATATATTATAATAAATAATAATAAATAAAGCAAATCAAAGTATTAGCTGTAAAAAGAACTTGCAGTACAAGCAAATAGTCTTAGAACAGTTTCCTCCAGAAATTTGGTTTTAGCTGCTTCCATAAAACATACTTTTTAAGGGTCTCTTAAGTAAATATGGTTTTAAAAATAATATGGTTCTAAGAAAACTTAACCTTTGTGATAACTCCTATAAACCTTTTCAAAGAGTGTAATATAATATTTAGGTAAAAACCAAGAGTCACATGTGTTGTTTTACCTGACAGTCTTTGATCTGAGTTTTGAGCAACGAAATTTCCCCGGTCTTCTGGCAAAGTCCCCACTCAGTTTCCTCCAATCTACTCCTCAAAGCCTCCACCTCCTGTCTCAGTCTTTCGCTTTGACAGTTAGCTCGTTGCGCCTCGCCGCAAATGCGTTTTTTATCTTGCTGCAGTTGGTAGGTCTGCATCATCAGCATCTGCTCCAACTTGTGCACTTTCTGGGCACTGGCTCGAAGTCTAAAACCGACACGGAAAGAAATAGTTTTAAGTTAAGGCCTACAATATTGCTGTAAGAGAATTGTCGCAAAATGTACCTTGTAATGTGTAAAACAAGCAACTAACCCATTGTAAAGATTTGCATTGTTTGTGTAAAACAAAAATAAACAAATTGTGACAATAATGCATTTAGCCTATTCTTAACATGTATGTTCACCCAACGACAACCCAAACATCACATATGTTTAAGGCTATTCCGTTTCTTTTTTCAAAACTTTAATTTTTGTGGGGCACTTGCAATGAAAATAATTTAAAAAAACTACGGATTCGTTACGAGGATAAGTGTATCTAAAAATCTAGGGTAGAACGAACTGGCTCATTAAAGCCGTTTGGGAAATAAAAAATGGGTTTTTGAAAAAAGAACCCCCGGTACATTGAAAAGCAGTACCTTTTGAAAAAAGTCTAGTACCTCAAAAAATCGTCCATTCGGTTATTTTTGATTGCCAAAACTTATTATTTTACAGTTTTATTGGCTTTTTTATCCCCTCATCCAACCCCCAAAAAATATATCGAAGATCTGCTACAATTTGTATGAACAAATTTATTTGGCTGCAACAACATTTTATACGTAATGTACAAATATAGCCTTATAATTTGCTACAATTTGCAGAAGTGAATTTTGCTGCTTGAAAAATTACTACAATATTTTCATTTTTGACGGCAGTGTTTAACACTTCTTTTATTTTTACGACAATTTGGAGAAATACTTTTTAGTAGGTAATTGTTGTAAAAACCTTGTCATCTTGTACCATAAATTATAATATTTATGTGCACGCAATTATAACATTTTCTGGACCCAGATTATAGTGACAAACGCAACAATTACATGACTAAAAAAAACTACAAATTGTAGGTGTTGTAAGTTATAGTATTACCTACATTTGTTTCAATTTTGTTTGAATGTGCCCTAGTAGCAATGGAATTGGACAAGATTCTTTGTCAAGATACTTGGAGAAGCACTTTGTAAAGAATTGGACAATTCTTGACCAAGACTCTTGATCAAAATTCTTTATCCACACTGGTGGCAGACTTGGACAAGTCTGTGACCAGAATTTGACCAGATTCTTGGCCAAGAATTTTTACACGATTACACGTTAAATAGGAACTTTCAATTTAAGATTTTTGGTCAATACAAAATTTTGTTGAACTTCAAAAGTTAAGAATGTTAATAAAAACATTAATTTTCCACGATTTCTTTCCAGTAAATTCGGTTTTTATCCATAAATCTGGTAAACAATAGAATTAAAAACGAAACAAATTTTGAAAGAATTAATGAATGAAATTTTAATTTTCTATGTTAAAAAAAAACCAAGTGCCCGTAAAAATAAACATATGTATTTTATAATCTTTTATGTTCATAAAGAGTAAACTCTAGTTATGCGTCAGAGCTAACACACACTTTTTTTTAATTTTTGATTTTTAGAAATAACAATTTTTATTTTTCAAAAAATCAATTTTTTTCTTAGCTAGAAGACGAATCCAATAAGCTCTTATTCGTATTTTCACATAAACAAAAAAACTGTACTCATTTCCTACAGAGAACTCACTTCTCGACTAGTATACATTATTGTGAATGATACTACTGTAGAATGAGAACCTCTACTCTATAGGATAGTCCCAAAGTTTAGCAATAGATGGCCTCAGATTTCTGGTCAAATTCTTGTCAAATTCTGGCCACAGTCTGGCTCAAGTCTTGCCCAATAATCTTGGCCAAGAATCTGGAACAATTCTTGTACAATTCTTGAGCAAAAATCTGTCCAAAGTATCTTTACCCATGTTGGGCCAAGACTTTTTTGGAATTGCTACTAGGGTGTATTACAATTTGTTATATTATTCGTATTTTCAACACAACTCATATAATTATATTGATTTTGACAACAAATTTCGTTGCAAGGAGGATTATGAGACATTATTGTTTTCTTACCTTGTTTCGTGCACTGTTTTCATACGCCTGATCTCCCTCTCCCATGCTTTCTCTTTTTCCTGGTACACCCTGAAAATGACTTGCTCGTTGTGCTCCATGGTTTGTCGAAGGTACGCGAGCTCTGAATCGCGGTCTCTCAAGGCAGCTTCCAGTTCTGACACTCCGGAATCCGATGGGGAAGGTGTTAAATCCAGAAGGCTTGAACTTCCGACTCCTCCCAGAAGACGATACGAGTTTTTGTTGCTAAAATAAATAAAAAGATGCGCTCACAATACGGTAGAATGAAAATAATCATCTTAATTCGATTTTGTTACGGCTTCATTTATTTACGGAATCTTTAAAGATAAAAGTAATCGATAGGAATCAAATGCACATGTCAACTACTTGAATGTTACCTTGCACTAATTTTAAAACAGTGATGTTTTGGTGGATACGACAATAAATTTTTAAGTGCGACGAAGCAGGTAGGTATAGGATATAATAGACTTAACTGTGCTAATTGCTTACGTCCCAGGTAAATAATGTTTTCCAAGTGCATCAACTTACATATTAGGCAAGGTAAACAATATAAAAACCCAGTGACATGAAGCAGCTATTTATATCTGTAATCAGATAAACTGTTGACATATACGGGGCCCTATAAAATGTCCGAAAATTGCACGTTAATCAAAGTGAAACGGAAATTTGATATTCTAAATCTTAGTAAATTGCTATGGTGGTGGGGATAAGTGAGAGCGTAAGGAATGAGTGGCTGTTCATTAGTAAGAGACAGATAGAAATACTATAAAATAAATTAATCAAATACCCGATTGACACTTATTTAATAGACCTCGCTAAAACCGATTCTGACAAAAAATTTTAGGGCTTGGGTAAATATTGGTTTTATAAATGTTATATGTATATATTTTATAAATTCATGAAATTTTCTATACATTTTAAAAATTTATAATGAAATTACTAATTACTAATTACTAAAAACTTTTAGTAAATCCGTTTTTAAGAATTTTTTTATGAAGTAATTAAATTTTATTTAAATTTTAAAATACAGATTTATAAAATTTTAGCTAATCCGTTTTTGACAAAATATTTATTTATTTGTATAAATTTTATAAATTATTAAAATTTAATATAAATTTTAAAAATTTTAGTAAATCAAGGTCTCTTATTCGTTTTTGACAACATTTTTATAAATTTGATGAATTTTATACAGTGTGACCCATTTGTTTGCGACTCGCCCATGTAAAATATTTATTTATTGTGCGATTTTAACCGGATTTGTTTTAAAGTGTAGATCTTGATAAACTGTATTTTTGGAGCAAAAGACGCCATATTAGTACAAAATACAAGGCCCACTATGTCAGTTTTTAAGAGTAAATTTTTAAGAATTCATATTAGCGATTTTTTTTAACAAAATCTAAGCATGGCACTGAATTCAAACCGCTCAAAACGACCCCATACTAAATTTTATTGAAAAATTTTAAGAAAAATAATGCACAATAATAACTATAAAAATTTATTTTGTCAAGTTATCTAAAAAAAATATTGAAATAAAATTGAACTTATAGTAATAGTACCATGTTACTATTAGTTAAATTTTATTTCAATGTTTTTTTCATGTATAACTTGACAATATAAATTTTTGTAGTTATTATTGTGCATTTTTTTTCTTAAAATTTTTCAATAAAATTTAGTATATAATTTTGTTTAAAAAATAGCTAATATGAATTCATAAAAATTTACTCTTAAAAACTTTAAAACAAATCCGGAAAAAAAATCGCACAATAAATAAAGATTTTACAGGGGTGAGTCGCAAACAAATGGGTCACACTGTATAAACTTTATATAAATTAATTTTATGAATTTATTAAATTTGATATAAATTTTACAAATTTAAAGAGAGGTCGCTAGTTTTATGAATTTTATATAAATTTAAAAATTTGACAAAATTTTATAAATTTGATGAATTTTAAATAAATTTTATGAATTTATTAAATTTTATATATATTTTACATATTTAAACCGTCGTTGCTAGTTTTATTTATTCTATATAAATTTTAAAAATGTATTAAATTTTATATAAATTTTACAAATTAAAAGCGAGGTTGCTAGTTTTATGAATTCTATATAAATTTTATGAATTTAATTTAATATACCTATTCTACAAATTCTACAAATTTAAACCAAGATTGCTTATCTGTTATTGGCAAAATTTTTATAAATTTTATAAATATTTATTACATTTTATATAAATCTAACAATTTTTAAATTTTATATAAATATAAAAATACAGAAACAAAACTTTTATAAATGAATTATAAATTTTTTAAGTTTATAAAATTTAATATAAATTTTACAAATTTTAATAAATCGAGTTCACTTATCCGTTTTTGACAAAAAATGTTTACAAAATTTGATGAATTTTATATAAAGTAGCTAATCTGTTTTTGTCAAATTTTATGAAATGTTTTATACATTTTTTTTTTAAATATAATATTAATTTTAAAATTTTTTAGTAAATCGAGATCGCCAATCCGTTTTCGACAATATTTTTATAAACTTTATATAAATCCTACAAATCCATTTTCATAAATTTTACAAATTTTATGAATTCTATATAAATTTTAAATAATTATATCAAATCGAGATCGACAATCCGTTTTTGACAAATTTTGTATAAATTTTATATAAATCTTACAAATCCGTTTTTGACATTTTTTTAACATAAAATTTTAGAAAATCGAGATCGCCCATCCGTTAAAGACAAGATTTTTATAAATTTAATATTAATCCTATAAATACGCTTTTAATTTTTTTTTTAAATATTATATTAATTTTATATAAATTTTATATAAATCATACGAATCCCTTTTTGACAATATTTATAAATATTATATTAATTTTATGAATTTTATAAAATTTTAGTAAATCGAGATCGCCAATCCGTTTTTGACAAAATTTTTATAAATGTTATATAAATCTTACTAATCCGTTTTTAACAATTTTTTTTTAAATAATTGGTATATAAATTTTAAGTAAATTGGGACCGCAAGTCCGTTTTTGACAAACATTTTATAAATTTTATAAAATTTTAGTACCTAAATCAAGATCAAAAATCCGTTTTTGACAATTTTTAAATTTTTTTAAATAAATCTTACGAATCCGTTTTTAACACAATTTTTATAAATGGGCTATTCCACGCGTAACGGATAGGACAGTTGCCGTTTTTTATTTACAAAATAATATTGTTCTATTATATTATCAATGTCAAATTTTTATAAATAGTTCTAAACTAAAGCTGTTTAACAAGGTTTTTATTTGGCAAAATTAGGTATAGTGGTTGACTGTTTAATTCCTTAAAAACTAATAATTTAAAGCGTAACGGACGGGACTTTGTAATAGTCCCGTCCGTTACGCTTTAAATTATTAATTTTTAAGTCAATTTAAGTCAATCACGATACCTAATTTTGCCAAATAAAAACCCTGTTAAACAGCTTTTGTTTAGAACTATTTATAAAAATTTGACATTGGTAATATAATAGAACAATATTATTTTGTAAATAAAAACACGGCAACTGTCCTATCCGTTAAGCGTGGAATGGCCCAAATGTTATATAAATCCTATGAATCCATTTTTGACCATTTTTATAAATATTATATTAATTTTATGAATTTTATATGAATTTTATATAAATTTTATAAAATTTTGGTAAATCGAGATACATCGCCAATCCGTTTTTTGACAAAATTTTTATAAATTTTATATAAATCCTAGGAATTCATTTTTATATCAATTTTAGGAAATAATAATAAAATTTTAGGAAATCGAGATTGCCAATCCATTTTTGACACTGTTTTTAACAATGTTTTTTTTTAATATTATATTAATTTTGTGAATTTTATATAAATTTTATAACATTTTAGTAAATCGGGATCGCCAATCCGTTTTTGACAAAATTTTAAATAAATTTTACGAATCCGTTTTTAACAATTTTTTTAAATATTATATTATTACTATATTATAAATTTTATAAAAATTTAACAAATTTTTTATAAATCTTACAAATTTATAAAATTTTAGTAAATCGCTATTCCGTTTTTGATTTTGATCTCTAGATACCTGAGCGACCACTCGTTTTATAGTAAATCTATACTTATAGGTGTATACTTATACTTACACTATTGAGCCATCCAGGGTAGAAGCTGGCGACTTTCTAACGCTCTCCAGACTGTCATAGTTCATCAGTTTGCTAGGGAGCGACGTTAAGGAACTCATAGCCAGCGGAGGGGAAGATGACGCGGAAGGACACAGCGACCTCAACTTCCTGTCCAGGGAGTAATTCGCACTTTCCCTGTTTACCTGGTGCAGATCATTTGTACCTAAATCAAATTTAAAATAACTAACCGCCACAATCTTTACAACGTTAACAACTAAATCAAAGTATTACGTTCATTTTGTAAAGAACCGGAGAGAAAATAGAAAATATTGAGTAGAATTAATTATAAAGTAATATACATAATAAGCATTAATTTATGAACAAATGCTTTTTGAACCATAACAGTTATACCGATTGCAACCAAATTATATAAAATCTTAATTATTTCACGAAGCATTGGGGTCATCTTTTTGTTATTAATTTAGTTTTGTTTTATTTAGACACATTTACTTTCCCTTTTTATTAAAGTTTTTAAGTTCTGTAGGAGCCCCTTACTGTACACTGAAAAAAAAGATTTCTTATATTTAGAACATCTATTATTCAAGTCAACTTGATTTAAAATAAGAATATATATTTCAACTAAAAATATTTAACTTCTTTAAAAAAGAATTTTGTAGTTTTGGAAATATTCTAATATTAAAAAACATTTTTGTTTTAAAAAGTTGGTACAAGGTACAATTGTTAATATATTTTTTTTTATATCAAGAATAAGATATTCTTATTTTTTATATTTGTTCAATTTTTTATATTAAAAATTAGATATTCTTAAATTTTTGTATTCGTTTTAATAAACGGTATTTTCTTTTAACTTTGGGGTATAACATTAATTTTGATTCATATATCAATAATAATGTATACATTTTAGATTTTTCTTGCATTAAAAACAAAATAAATGTGTTTGTTCAACGTTTGTTTTTTTATTTTCTAACCTAAATTTTTTTGCTTACTGCACCACCTAGATACGATACAACGTATACTTTGGCCCTTCAGCAAGTTTGACTTAATTTTGAATAATCCGAAGTATTTAAATATAAAGTTTTGTTTAAGATTAGACAACAATCCTTAAAAAATTACAGGATATTTAAAATTACTCCAGTCCCCTTCAAGTGTTTAGACGTATTTTATTTTAAATTCTATTTATTTTTCCGTAATATTCCTAAATATGAAGATGTTTTTATTATTAAAATAAATAATTTTTAGTTAATAGACTTATCATTATTTAATATTTTATTAATTTTAAATACAAAATGATAGATTTTTTGAAACATTGCTAAAAGTAGCTTAAAATTAACATAGATACATTATATTTTCAATGATACTTTTTGCATGGTTTTAAAATAAATATTATTTTGTAATCAATGAAATAAAATTTTAAATCTTGTATCTTTTAATTTAAAAAAAATATTGGGTTATAGAAAGCATCTTGATTTAAGAAAATTATTGCCTTATTTCAATATCACATGTTTTTGTTTTAAGAAAATTTATTCTTGAATTAAGTAAGTATCATTTTTATTTAAGAATACCACTGATTTACTTTTAAAAGATCATATTCTTGCTTTAAAACAACCAATTATTTGGTTAAAGAAAATACATTTTCTTGAATTAAGTACATATTGCTGCCTTATTTCAAAAATTATATAGTCTTGCTTTTAAACAATCAAAGTTTTATTTAAAGAAATTTAATTTTTTCACATTAAGAAAAGATTCTTGAAGTAAATCAACGTGAATTAAGAAAATACTTTACTATTTTAAAGAATATATTATCTTCGTTATATATTGTTTTGAATCAAATAAATTTATTTAGTACAAGAATATTTTTTTTCAGTGTAATTGTTTACTTACTTCCGTATAGTGTTAACCTGGACCCAGGTCTGGTGAGTATCGGGGTGGATCCATAACGTTCGCTCCCCGTAAGTCCGAACCTGGATGCATTGGAGGGGGTCATCATTCCGCCCCTGGATCTGGCCCTTTCGTTCACATTTAATGCTGAAGGTTTGAAGGCGATGGGACGAATAAGGACCTTCCCCTGAAAAAATAAAATATATTTTACATTGTATACAATGTAATGTTTTATATTCAAACTATAATAGCTATTAAATGTTTTTATAAACGAAAAAAGACCCACAATTTAAAGGTATTTTCATTTGTGCCTCTGGCCTTTTCTTGACTGATATGCATCCTAAATATTATTTATTATCTAACGTCAGGAATTCTGATCATTTTGCTTACTGCAGTAAGTATATGGTAGAGAAATAATTAATTATTTTTGATGCGCTGGGCCGGGAACCAATACGAGGTTAAAAAATTATGGGTTTGATACACTTTGGAATTTCCTGTACGAACAATTTTAAACATAAACATAAAAATAAAGTATTTTAAGATTTTTGATATAACACTGTAATAAAAAACAGATAATTTTTTGTTAAAAACCAGGGTTTGTAAGTATTTTAACAAAGTTGTAAGCATTCTATAAATTTCAAAGGTTACAGATTATTTTGTTATAATGTAGCACACTTTATTCTAAGAATATTTTTTAAACCTTCCAGTGACAATATTCTTAGGATCATGCTATATTTCTTCTAAAGAACATGCTTAAAAGACATATAGCATGATCCTAAGAATATTCTTACTGGCTTATAGGCAGGTTCTTAGAAGGTGCAAAGTTTTAGTGGTAAAAATTAGTCTACTCTAAACATATGCTTAGAATGTTAAGAAAGTAATTGCTATAGAAAGTTCATTTAGGAATATTTCTGTTAAGCATATTTAGTTCAGTTACCTATATAATAGTAAAATATACCATAAATTACGTATACTTAAGTACCTAATTAGTAATTAGAATATTAAATACTAAGTAAAAACACAATCCAAAATATTTTTTTACAGTTATTTGTCAAATTAAAACAATATTCGATAACAAAAATACTTTTACTATAGGTATTTTATTTTATGTTAAAAATAAATATTTATTAATTTGTATACCGATTTTTTATTTCTGAATTAACATTTTTATGTATGATAATCCTAACTATCTTCAACTTCAATCTAATCTGACTTATCCCACAAAATTTTCCAATTTTACTTTTTATGAAATAATGTCATACAACTTATGGTTTAGAGGTCAAATTGTTTATTTAATATTTTTAAATAAATATATATTAATATGTCGCAAATTTTTTTAAGGGGACGACAAAAACATTTCACTCTCATATTATGACAGGCGCGCGCGCGCGTATTTGTCGTCTCCTGAAGAATTTTACGAATGTAGAATACAACATATTAGAACGTGGGTATCTGACATATTTGAAAATATTCTCAAAAGCTTCCTAGAAGCTCCATAAGAAACCTTCTAATAACATTCCAAAAACGTATTCTTAAAATGTTCTTATAAGATTCTTAAAAGCTTCTTAAAACCTTCCTAAAAAGCATCCTATAGGATGCTTTTTAGGAAGGTTTTAAGAAGCTTTTAAGAATCTAATTGCATCATTAAAAGGGTATCTATTGAATGTTTTAAAAGTCCCTGAGAACATTTTTAGCAATAAGGGAAGGTTCTAAGAATATTCCATTATTCCGGGTCATATCTTCTTAGAACATTCTTAAAATCAAATTTTGCTATCAGGGATAAGGAGTGTGCGAAGTGCGCAGTATCCAAAAAAGATGCCATCACTGGTTTTCAAACTGAAATTAGGGGATTAGTGGGTTAAAGTTACGAAATACATCAGTAATGGTTGTGGTAGTACTGATAATTATAGTTATATTGTACCAACTTTCTTCATAATTTGATGATTTTAGAATGGTGTTATTAATATTTTTTTACTGTGAAAACTGAAAGTTAATATAAAAAAAACATTTTATGAAATAGAGGCCATAAAATTAAATAATTGCTCTTAAGTTATGCAAATAATAAATATAATGTCCGGCCAAACAAATAAAAATACAATAATTCCATAATTAACTTTACGTAATAGGTTCGCACAGGCAATGCTTTTTTATAAGTTAAAGGTGAAACTTAATATTAATTAATTACTAAATCGAGCAAATTTGCAAATCATTTTTGTTTAATTATTAGCGCGCATAGATAAGATATAATAATTTGATCTTGTCGCAAAGGTTAGCGGTTTGAGAAAAAATTGAATTATTAATTGGTATTGAATTAATTAATGAAATAATAGCCATTGTTGCCTATAGGCAACAGTGTATACACTGTTAAAAATGTTTGTAAAATTACTACATTTTTACTAAGCAGCTGCATAGTAAAATTACAAAATGTTGTATTGTATTGCAATTTGAATACGCATTTGTTGTAATATTACATTTTGTTATAGCCAAAGTACTAAACAGGATCCAATTTTACAATGTTTTTGTTTTTGTCAGATACTTAAAGTAATTTAATTCTGTATTGTAGAATGAAATTTGAAATTTTGTAAAATTTCTATACATATTCGGAATTTAATTTTACTAGATAATCAATAAAATTACTAACCAAAATTTGCTATTTGAATTAAAAGGGTTTGGAAAATCATTATTTATTTTATACAACTTCTGTTTGCATTTTTACTATATATCATTTTAATCATGTACCCTGTTAAAATTTTTTGTAAAATACCAGTACAAAATTATAATACAATTTGAGTAATCTTCCAAGACATGTTGGGAAATCTACTACAATAAGTTGTAATTTTACAATCTATATGTATAAATCCTACACGCATTGTAATTTTACTAAGTTTGACAGTTTTTAATAAAAAGCATCTCTGATTTACAAACGTCGTTTATAATTTGATTTGCTATAATGTTATGTAAAATGCATATAGTATGTACCGATTGCGGCAATCACGTGATGTTCTTACATCTCGCCTCGGTTGACTTAGGTGGACAGTATATAAGCTCAGTTGTCTTTCGTTTTTGGTGTGTTCCAATACAAGAAATTGCCCGACATTGATAAGACCCAAAATAGGTCTATCTATCTAGCTGTCTGACGGTATTTGAAGTTGGTGGAACGCACTAAAAACAAAAACTGGCGAGGTGAAGGTTCAATTTTTTTACATCTTTACAGTAATGGGTCAAGAAAGTTTCTTGAAGAAACTAAGAAAATTGCAGTTTTTTTATAGTACGAGTATAATTACAATACCATCATTCGTAAATTACTAAATATTTTTAGTGTAATATTGTGAAATGAATTTTTTTCAGTTCAGTAAAATTGTAAAATATATTTTGTAATTTTCTTAAACTGAGTTGAAATTATTTGTATAGTATAATTACAATACAACATTTTAAAATTACCAAACATATTTAATATTTTTTTTAGCAAAATTACAATACCTGTATAGTTAGTGAAATTTTAACTTCTCCAAATTAGTGTTTTTTATTATCACTACTTTTCCGGAACTCTCGAAATAAAATAGTGAAATTTTAACTTTTTTGAACTAAACCTATTTCACTAATTTGTACAGTGTAATTTCCACTACACTGAAAGAAATTTATGTTTCATATATGGACTACCACATACATTGCTAAAACAAACATATAATATATTTACCTTAACCATTTTTATATTTAGTTTTAACATATTATGTTAAAACTAAATATAATATATGTTTGTTTTAGCAATGTATGTGGTAGTCCATATATGAACCACAAACATTGCTAAAACAAACATATATTTCTTTCAGTGTAAATAAATTAGTGCAAAGAAATCGCTACATGAAAAAGTGAGTATTCACTAATTGCTAGTTGTATACTTATCACTGCGGCAAATAGTTAATATGCACTGTCAATTAGTGAAAATCCACTGTTTCATTTTTAGAGAGTAGTGAATTTACAAAACTGAGTTTTCCTATTACTATATTGTGGTGCGTAAAAACTTCCTAAACATGTTTAGTAAAATTACAATAAAATTTTTTAACAATGTGAGACCAATTGAGGCAGTGGCGAGTAAACTCATCGAACATTTTGTTGTCAAAAAGTATATATAGGTATACATATAAAACAAATAAAATATCAGAGCAATTGTTTTTGAGGCGGCCTAATAAAATACAATGCCAACAGAATAATAATAATACTTCAGCATAGCCAATTATATATAGGTTTCGTACCAATCTTAAGATATTTGAAAAGTTCCTGAATATTGCTTACCCTGCCTCTTATCGTTAAATATTGATGCAATTTTTGGCGTTGGACGACTGCACAATATCTGTTCTTTTTTAGTTTCGTTTCTTCTTAAAAAGGGCGTTTCAATTATTAAGAGAATAATGCCATTAACAAGATTCATTGAAAAAAGCTACCTGGCAACACTGCTTCTAACTTCTAACATAAAAATACGTGCTCATTAACTTATTTTGTAAGCGATTAATAAAATAATATTATTTAACTTAAATTTAAAATTGTAATGGCTATACAAAAATGTACCACCTAAGGTATCTTTTTTATTAAATTTTCAGTGTCTTATTTGGGACAAAAACCTACGATTTGTCAAAGTAATGAGATTATTTTTATTTACTGAATAAACTTTTTTTACAGTTAATAAAATTATCATTTACTATAATGAAGCAGCAATGTTGATCTTTTATAAAATAAATGTTCATCCAACAAAATAATAGTTGTAATCATATTGTCATGACAATAAGAAATACTTTACCATGTTTATATTAAATCTTTGTCGAACTTAAAATGTTTTTGTTAAATCTATAATTGTGTGTGAATTGCGCCTAGATAAAGTAATGCGCAGTTGTTATAGTAAAATTTGTTTATTTTACTATGGCATATTTGTCTTTTTTAAATTACTATCGTTGTAATTCAAATTAATTTTATTTCAGTTGGAAAATCTTTGTTAATAGCTTACGTTAAGAACAATAACAAAAATATTTTATTGCTATAAAAATCTTATTGATTTCACTTGTGCTAGTGAAGTGTGGTAAAATCTAGCATGATAAAAATATCGAAAAGATCACTAAGAAAATTAAAATTTCGACGTTTTCTAAAAAAAATATCTAAGGTCTATTCTATAAACGAAGCAGACTTGTTGTTTAA